ATCAGTTGTGCTTGAAAGAAGTTGCTGATAAGGAAGTTTGAGAGACAGCATTTGTGGCTCTAATATAAAAATGAAGCACCCACTTCTGAATTAGGAATTTATTTAGAAGTGCAAATTTGAACTTGGGAAAGCTATCCAGGAGCAAATGCAGATGAGGTTGAGTTAGTGTGTGCTACAGGATATGGCATAATTGAAAACATGCTTCAGGATATGGGATAGATCTTGTTGATGTAGATGGCCCAAGTGAATGAGTCCTTTCACCCATGTAGGAGACCTGAAATTAGCTCCTGGCCCTGGCTCCTGGCTTCGAATCAGCTCAGCTCTGGCCATGGTGACCATTTGGAGAGTGAACCAGTAGATGGAAGACCTTTCTCTCTGCTTCCACATCTCTCTGTACTCTGTCTTTCAAATAAATAATCTTAAAAACTGTCTCTTTATGGATCAGCTCTGTGGTGCAGCAGGTTACAAGGCTGGTTGCAATGCAGCCATCCCATATGGGTCACAGTTTGAGTCCTTGCTGATGGCCTGGGAAAACAGTAGAAGATGGCCCAAGTGCTTGGCCCCCTGCACCCAAGTGGGAAACTCAGAAGAAGCTCCTATCCCCTGTCTTCAAATTGGCTCAGCTCTGGTCATTGTGGCCATTTGGAGAGTGAACCAGCAGGTCAATCTCTCTCTCTCTTTCTCTCTCTATGTCTGTTTCTATCTCTCCTTATAAATTTGTCTTTCAAATAAGTAAAATATTAAGAAAATCCTTCAAATAAATATTTTAAATATTTTAAAAACCATAGCAGTTGTGTTTAAGTTGTGTTTAAGTCTCTGGTTGATACATAGTGGGGATACAAAATTAATGTTCTAGTTGAATGAGTTGCACCTTACTCTAATGTATTTTCTTATCAACCAGGGTGACACTTGATTGAATCTGACATACATCCAAGGTCCTTTCCTCAGACTGACCATCTCCATGTCTTTCCCAAGACTCCCTGCTCACAGGCTGAATGTAGATGTTTCCCACTGCGGGGGGATTACAGTACTGTCTTGTTGCAGTCTCCACATATAACAAATTCCTTTCAGTACTTAAGCATCTTCTTGAAGAAGTACACCCCCTTGAAAGGCACAGTAGGGAGGGGGCATTAAAATGAAAAGCTACAGCTACAGTTACAATCATGGACAGAGATCAGCTTGAAATTATTTTTCCCTAGCAGACTCTTGAGTCTTGGGAAAAGAAAGATTTTGGGGTCTCTACTGTGGAACAGCGGGGTTAACACCCTGGCCTGAAGTGCCAGCATCCCATATGGGCACTGTTTCGAGGGTCGAGCTGCTCTACTTTCAATCCAGCTCTCTGCTATGGCCTGGGAAGGCAGTAGAAGATGGCCCAAGTTCTTGGGCCCCTGTACCTGCATGGGAGACCTGAAAGAAGTTCCTAGCTTCTGGCTTCAGATCTGCACAGCTGCAGCCATTGCGGCCAGTTGGGGAGTGAACCATAGGATGGAAGACCTCTCTCTCTCTTCTCTGCCCCACTTCTCTTTGTGTAACTTTGACTTCCAAATAAATAAATACATAAATCTTAAAGAAAAAGAAATATTTTGTCTTGAGATATAAAATTATAATGTATTTCCCTGCAAACAATGGAGAACTGGCTCACAACCTGATACTTTCTTGAGCTAAAGGCTTTCTGCTCTCTCCCCCCTCTCCTTTCAAATATAAATAAATAAGTAAAGCTAGCACCAATAATATCTATTCATTTTTTTGTTCTGGAGGCTGAAAGTCTGAGGTCAGAGTGTCAGCAAGGCCATGTTTTCTCTAATGATGGGGAAGAATACCTCCTTGCATCTTCCTTGCTTTTGGTAGCTGCCCGCAGTCCTTGGCATTCATTGGCTAGAAGCTGTATGTCCCAAATCTCTACCTCTGTTGTCATGATGTTTTCCTTTCTGTATGTCTTCAGGTGACCTTCTTATGAAAATACCACACCTTGAATTTAGGGCCCATCTTGATCTGGGATGATCTTAGTTTAGCTAGTTAGACCTGCAAAGATTCTATTTCCAAATAAAATCACATTCTGAGATTTGAAGTTGACATGAATTTGAGTGAAATAATATTCAATCCAATACAGTTTAATATGCTTCTTTTTCACTTCATTTAAGGAAACTTTTAAAACTACTTTTGCTGTTTACAAAGAAAATAGAGTATCTCATTAAATTTTGAGCTTCCAGTTATTGGATATAGTTAAACAAAAGCTCAAAACCTTTTAAGAGTAGACGTGAGTAGATACACATGAATTGCTGAACTTGACATTAACTGAGAATTAGAAATTAGGTCATAGGTCCCTCTTCAGCTTTCCATTAGCCTACTAAATCATGTTTCACCACCTAGATATTCACCTGTGACCTTATAAAATATAATGAATCCCCTGGGTATTGGCAGTATATTTGGCCTGGGTCAGAGGACTATGCAACTTATTGCTGAAAACAGTTGCTCCACCAGCCCAGTGATTTTTTTCTCTTGTCTGGAAATGTAGGGGCTACATAAGGGGTCTGCGTAACGTTAAACCATATAAGGACTCTTTGCCAAATGGGAAGTGGCTTGGGAGTTTCCCTCACCCAAGGACAGCAGGCTACTATAGTTCTCTGGTATCACATTCCCATACAAGATCTTCTGAGCATTGTCCAGGTCCTGTTGCTCCTCCTGGCTGAAGCCCACAGTCAAAACCTGTAACAGCACACATCTCCAAAAGACATCAGCTCTGAGTCAAAAAAAAAGAGAGCCACTTTCATTTCTGCGTCTACTATGCTTCCCACATGAGAAGCTAGTTTTTGTGTGCTATATGTCAACAGAAAAGTGAGAATAAAAACACATTCCCTGTATATTAACTTTGTAATTACAAAATTTACTATACTCTAGTTACTCATATTAAAAGGGCCTGAAAGCCCAGCAAGAACAAGATGAGTAAAATTCTGATTCTGTAAGAAAATCACAATGTAATCTGTAGGCATGTATATACATATCTAATTGAAAAGTGTTAGCTCAAGTGAGACAGATGTTCAAAGTAGATCAGGGTAACAAGGTTTTTAAAAATAAATTTGGGAGCCGGCGCCGCGGTTCACTAGGCTAACCTTGACCTTCTGGCGCCGGCACACCAGGTTCTAGTCCCGGTCGGGGTGCAGGATTCTGTCCCGGTTGCCCCTCTTCCAGGCAAGCTCTCTGCTGTGGCCAGGGAGTGCCGTGGAGGATGGCCCAAGTGCTTGGGCCCTGCACTCCAGGGAGGCCAGGATAAGCACCTGGCTCCTGGCTTCCAATCAGCGCGGTGCGCTAGCTGCAGTGCACCGGCTGCAGCAGCCATTGGAGGGTGAACCAACGCAAAAGGAAGACCTTTCTCTCTGTCTCTCTCTCTCACTGTCCACTCTGCCTGTCAATAAATTAATTAATTAATTAATTAATTAAAAATAAATTTGGGGAGGATGACATTGTGGCATTTTAAGTGAGGTCACTACCTATGATGCCAGCATATAATATGGACACCTATAACCTAATCCCAATTTAATTCCTCCTGAATATTCTCTTTTTAATGGTAGATTTAAAGGATTTTTTTTATCATTCCTTTGGATAATGCTGACTGTGAAAAATTTACCTAAATAATACCTGGGGTTTTGGTGGCAGGACCTCAGATTTGCCTTTTCATCTTCAATGTCAAAATAGATCACTTACTCTTTTGAGTCATTTTATTTATTTATTTATTTATTTTGACAGGCAGAGTGGATAGTGAAGAGAGAGACAAAGAGAAAGGTCTTCCTTTGCCATTGGTTCACCCATGGGGTGCAGGGCCCAAGCACTTGGGCCATCCTCCACTGCACTCCCTGGCCACAGCAAAGAGCTGGCCTGGAAGAGGGGCAACTGGGACAGAATCCGGAGCCCCAACCGGGACTAGAACCCGGTGTGCCGGTGCCACAAGGTGGAGGATTAACCTAGTGAGCCATGGCGCCGGTGGACTAACTTCTGCTGCTTGCACAGGTATGCTAAGCAGGGAGCTGGATTGGAAATGGAGCAACCAGGAAACAAACCAAAATCCTTAAGGGATGCTGGCATCCTAGGCAGCTGTTTAAACCCACTATACCACAATGTCACAATGTCAGCCCCAGGTTTTCATTTTAGATTTGAGCAGCTTGAGGTGCCATTTGGATGGCTATAAGGAAACACTCAACAGGGAGTAAATATAGTGGTCTACATGCTGTGCCAGGAGCCCAAGCTGGAGATACAGATGTGTCAGATGATATAGGGTCAACCTGTCAAGGTGAATTGCAGAATGCATCAATAGGACACCAGTAAAAAGAGAAGAAACTTTCAGTGATGTCATGATACAAACAGGTTAACTTCCAGGAGAAGGCGCGTAGCAGTTTCTACCATGGCAAGGGAAAAGAGTCATTTAGCCTAATGCCCTGGTCCCACAGCAGCATTTCCAGCTGTGCTTTCAGGGCTGGCTCCTAATTTTAGATTTTGCAAATCTAGACACTAGAAGTCAGTGTTGACAACTCTAGAATGTAGGCTTCTCAACTCAAGTGAGAGGCCAGGACTACATTCCTGGTTCTCACCTATGACCCTGTCTCAGCCCTGCCTGCTGTGGGTGTTTGGAGTGTAAATCAGTTGACTGAAAGTCACGGTCTCTCTCTCAGTGCCAGTGTTGTGGCATAGTATGCTATATGTCCACTTATGGTGCCACCATCACATACGGGCACCAGTTTGTGTTCTGCATGTTTTTCTTCTTCTTCTCCTTCTTAGTAGAGTTACAGAGAGGGAGAAACAGAGAAGTCTTCCACCCACTGGTTCACTCTCAAAATGGTCACAAAGAACTGGAGCTGGGGCACCAGCGGTAGCGGCCATTTCGGGGGTGAAGCAACGGAAGGAAACTTTTCTCTCTGTCTCTCACTGTCTAACTCTCCCTGTCAAAAATAAAATAAAATAAAATAAAATAAAATAAAATAAATAAAATAAAATGTGAAAGAAGCTGAGGAATAAATAACTTACTGGCAATAAATTCATTTTTGTTTGTCTCAGGTACATGTAGATGTCTCCAGGATCTTATCTGAAAGAGAAGAGAAATTATTCAGAGAGAGTGGTGAGACAAATAGTCTAGATTCTTCCTAAAGTCTACTGTGCTAGCAATATCATGAAGGAAATGCATATAGACAAATGGGCATATAAGCTGGGCAACAAAATAAACTACCCTCCCTATGGGGGAATATAGGCTTTACACATGGGAAGAGCAGAAAAGACCCTGAAAGAGCACACACAACTCTACCAGTCAGGTTAATATTTTTGTTGGGCTAATTAAAATATTAATTTGTTACCAATTCTGTAAAAAACATCAATGCCAGGGCCATCACTGTGGAGTAGTGGGTAAAGCTTCCTGCTGCAGTGTGGGCATCTCATATGGGCACCAATTCCAGTACACCTGCTCCACTTCTGATCTAGCTCTCTTCTATGGACTGGGAAAGCAGTGGATGAAAACCCAAGTCCTGGGGCCAGCACTGTGGCACACTGGGTTAATCCTCTGCCTGCGGGACTGGCATCCCACATGGGCACTGGTTCTAGTCCCGGTTGCTTCTCTTCCAGTACAGCTCTCTGCTATGGCCTGGGAGGGCAGTGGATAGCCCAGGTACTTGGGTCCCTGCACCCATGTGGGAGACCAGAAAGGGTCACCTGGCTCCTGTCTTTGGATTGGCAGAGTTCCAGCTATGGTGGCCATTTGCGGGGTGAATCAATGGAAGGAAGACCTTTCTCTTTGTCTCTCTCTCTCACAGTCTATAACTCTACCTGTCAAATAAAAAAAAAAAAAAAAAAAAAAGAAGAGAAGACCCAAGTCCTTGGGTCCCTTGCACCAACATGGGAGACTTGGAAAAATCTCCAGGCTCCTGGCTTCAGATTGGCCCAGCCTCAGCTAATGAGGCCATTTGGGGAGTGATCAGCAGATGGAAAACCATCTCTCTTTCTGTCTCTGTCTCTCTGTAACAGCCTCTCAAATACATAAATAAATCATAAAAAAAATCAATGTCACTGCCTAAATAATTTATAGTATTCATCAGGATTGTCCAATTAATTAGCAGTACACCAAAAAGAAACCTGCTTTCATTAGTATCTATATTACACAGAAAATTACTCAGGGCCATACTAACTGTTTCCCTTACAACATCTCTTGCTTTTATGTATCTAAAATTTCATTAAAGTGTGCAGCTTAAAAATTAGTTTTTGGCCACAATCTTATGTATAGGAAAAATTGACATAATATATCTATTACAGCTTTCTTTAACTGTTCTATGACAAGCCTCTCTGTATACAAACCTTGATATAATTCTTCTCCACAGGGACCCCTGACATTTTCCAGTTCACTTTTGTTCTAGCCCATGAGACAACAGTATATATGATACCAACATAATTTGAAAAGTATTTTACCTTTGGGAGTTTCCTTTCTTGTACAGTAATCATATGGAAAATCCTGAGACTTTCCTGTTGGACACATAGGGCCTAGGTCACAGGCTGCACAAACCAGACATTGGAAGAGTAGGCATCATGATACACTAGGTTAAGCTACTTCTCTGGACATACCACATATATATCAGAGTGCTTGGTGTGTGTCCTGGCTATTCCACACCTCCAAACCAACTTACTGTAAGTATTTTTTAAAGTTATTTTTTGAAAGTTTTAGTTATTGATTTGAAATGCATAGTTACAGAGACGCAGAGACAGAGAGAGGTCTTCCATCTGCTGGTTCACTCCCCAGGTGGCTGCAATGGCTAGAGCTACACTGATCCAAAACCAGGAGCCAGGAGCTTCTTCCAGGTCTCCCACACAGGTGCAAGGGCCAAAGGACTTGGACCATCTTCTACTTTCTCAGGCCATAACAGAGAGCTGGATTGCAATTGGGCAGCCAGAACTCAAAATGATGCCCATATGGATTGCTGGCACTGCAGGTAGTGACTTTACCCACACCACAGCACTGGCCCCAAGTGTTCTTTTGAGTCAACAGATCATGGCTCAAAGACTTGGATTTCTGCCATCTGCATGGAAACCAACATGGAGTCCCTACCTCCTGGCTTTCATAGATAGAACCCTGGCTGTTGTGGGCTTTTGCAGAGTGATCAGGCAGCCTTGGTTGGCAATGTTCAGATTTTTAAATATTTCACTTTTCTAGATTTTTGAGTCAATATTCTGAGTCCTATTGCTTCTTTATTACCAAGAATTCCAAGACCTAACTCAGCATGGTGCTATGTATAGCATAATGTGAGAGTTAAGATGAGATGAGAGAACTCCCAACATTGTATCTAGGTAGCATACCTTAGAAATAGTGGCAGTCTGTAAAAGTTGCAAATCTACCTACCAGAGTGGTGGGACAGTTAAGGGATTTTAATAATTTCCCAAAATTTATTAAAAGGAAAAATGGCAACATGGTAAGGGCTGGCTTCCCATGATTCCTAACCATCTTCATCTTTCTGCACTACACACCCTCAGCCATCACCCTCATCCATCCATGATCCATGCCCACCCTGCAATGGCTTTCCTGGGCCGCAGCTCGGTGCCCAGCCATGCCTGTGGGAGGGAGCTCCAATAGGACAATAGCAGCTGTAGGCACCTGATCGCAGCTGGGGGAGGGGACATGGATAGCAGAGCACCACCACTCCAGTGGGCCCTGTGGGTGCTTGCCTGGGCCAAGGGTAGAGACTAAGCCCCGACCTCCCTGTCCCCAGTTTGGGGCCAACCAGAGTACACCTGTGAAATGCATGTCAGTAGAGAAGAATTGTGGTTACCAGCGAGTGAGGGGGAGAAATGGTGGATTAAGGACAAAGGGGATACATTGGTCATGGGGTACAAAGTTTCCAGTGAACAGGAGAAATGAGTCTACAGCTATACTGCAAAGCATGGAACTACAATGCTGTATTTCAAGTTAAGAGAGGCTTTTGAAAGTACTCACCATACAGTGTAGGAAGTGATGAATGAATTATTCTGATTAGACAATTCCAGAATTAACACTCATCGGATGATCACATTGTACCCCACAGATATCTACAGCTATTTCTCAGTTGAATAGTTTAAAAAGGCAAAGATTACCAGGCTACACTAAAAAAGCTAGGAACAATACAATGTGTATTAATATAAAGAGAAATGTTTAATGATTTCACAGGACAAAAAATGAATCTTAAAGATTTGTTAAATTGAAAGGCAGAGTTAGAGAGAAGAGATATAGATCTTCCATCTACTGGTTCACTCTCTAGATGGCTGCAACACAGAGCTGTGCCAATTCAAAGCCAGGAGGCAGGGGCTTATTCTGGGTGTCACATGTGGGTGCAGGTGTCCAAGTACTTGGGTCATCTTCTGTTGCATTTCCAGGTACATTAGCCAGGAGCTGGATGGGAAATGGTGCAGCTGGGACTTGAACCTGGGCCTGTATGGGATGCCAGTGCTGTAAGCTGCAGTTTATCTTTGTTTAACACAGCAGTGGCCCCCCCCCCAAAAAAAAAGGGATACAAAGAGTTCAAAAGCTGAATGATGAAAACAATACATATAGAAGGGGCTGGGGCCATGGCTTAGAGGGTAAAGCCATCCACCTGCAGTGTTGGAATTCCACAAGGGCACCACTTCAAGTCCCACCTCCAGTGCCGGCATCCCATATGGGCACCGGTTTGAATCCCGATCACTCCACTTCCAATCTAGCTCTGTTGTGTCCTGGAAAAGCAATAGAAGATGGCCCAAGTCTTTGGGCCCCTGCACCTATGTGGGGGACCTGGAAGAAGCTCCTGGCTCTGGATCGGCAGAGCTCTAGCTGTTGCAGCCAACTGGGGAGTGAACCATTGGATAGAAGACCTCTCTCTCTCTCTCTGCCTCTCTTTCTCTCTGTGTGTAACTGACTTTTAAATAGAAAAATAAATTCTTAAAAAAACAAATGTGTAACTGTTCATATAGATAGGCTCAAAGGGATCACATAAATAAGATCAAGTGTATACTAATAACATAGAATTAAAAAGGAGAGAATGATCCAACATGGGACGCAGGCCACACAGCAGACTTATAGAATGACAAATGCCCTAAACAGCACATTGACATCAGAATCAGCCTTAAGTCCTTTGGATCTAGCTAAAAATCCCATGAGAGCATTTTAGGCATGGAAAGCCAAGAACTGTAGCAAAAAAAAAAAAAAAAAAAATCTACATAAATGATCTCTGTAAGTGAGACCCCAGTGGAAAGAAGAGGACATCAAAGGAGGTACCTTTTCAGAAGGCTAGAGAGAACTTTCCACTTTTTTTTATGGCCCTGTCTACATACTAACAGAGTTTGTGGACTCAAAAGGCTTCCATAGCCTTGGCAGCTCATGACAAGAGCCTCAGGTGATCATTGACACCATAAATAAGTGTCAATTGTTAAATCAACAATAGGAGTCACTGTGTACTTACTCCCTATGTAGGACCTCTGTCCTTAAAGAGTTGTGCTATGAGAATTAACAGTAAAACTCATCTTCAAAAGTACTTTAGACATTGTGTGTCTCTGCAAACTGTTGAAATCTTTACTTAGTATAGAGTTGGCCTTCTGTATATAAATATAATTAAAAATGAATCTTTATGAAGAATGGGATAGCAGAGGGAGTAGAAGGTGGGACAGGAGTGAGGATGGGAGGGTGGGAAGGGGGGAAGAACTGCTATATTCCTAAAGCTGTACCTATGAAATGTGTATTCATTAAATGAAAGCTTTCTAAAAGAAAAAGAGCCAAGAATGAGCCAAGTATCTGGAGCCCTGCTATCCATGGTACAAACCTGGCTTGAGTTCTAAGTGCTAGGCCTTAGGCTAGTGGCGTCCAGGTATTGCGGTAGCTGGAGAAAGCCAGTTGATAGGAGATCCCTGTGCTTCTCTCTCCCTTTTGCTCTGTTTCTTAGTTCCTCAAATAAAAAAAAATAAAATATTTACAACTCTGGAAACCAAAACCAGAAGGATATTAGAGAATTCTTCAAACTTGTAATAAATAAGAATCATATTCCCAAATGGACAGTGAATTATTGAAGAAACCACATGGGAAATTCAGAAATAAGATGATTAGAATCAAAGTACACCACAAATTAATGGAAAAATGCAAAGCAAGGCTTGGGAGGAAATAGCTGTAAAGATCTATATTTCATAATAAGATATGAAATCAATTATCTACAATTCTACCTGAAGAAACTAAAAAAAAAAAAAAAAGGCAGAGAAAACTGGAGCCAAAAAAGGCAGAAGAAACAAATAGTGGAGTAGGGTGGAGAAAGGAATGTGTGGTGCTCCCCACTTTGTGTAGGAAAGACACAGTGCTGTGATTCTGGCACATAGCAAGGGATGCATGCTTCTCCCACCAAGAGCCTACAGCCTCTGCACCGTGATATGAAGCTACCCAGATGTAAATAATCAAGCCCTCTTATTATCCTAGGCTTCCAAGGTAAACTTTTAAACATTTTTTATTAACATTTTAACATTTATTTATTTATTTTAAAGGCAGAGTTACAGAAAGAGAAAACAAAGAGACCTTCCATCTGTTGGTTCACTTCCCCGGTGGCCACCACTACAGGGATGGGCCAGGCTGAAGCCACAGATAGAAGCTTCATCCTTGTCTCCTACAGGGCTACAGAGACCCAAGGACTTGGGCCATCCTCTCCTGCTTTCCCAGGTGCATTAGCTAGGAGATGGATCAGAATTGGGCCACGAGGAATCAGACCAGTGCCCATTTCAGTTGCTGCTGTCACTGGCAGCAGCTTAACCTGCTATGCCACAATGTCATAAAGATAAGCATTTCTAACTCAGGCCACAATAAAGGAGGAGAAAATAGCTTACAGGAGATGACTAGAAATTTGAAAGGAGTCAATCAAATGGAAATTAAAAAAGCTGCAGTTCAGAAGATGATTGAAAATGTTATTAGAGGTTGCCCTCATTGTGGCATAAAATGTTAAATAAACCTCCCCCTTCAGTGCTGGCATCACATATGGCCACTGATTCAAATCAAGTCCTGGCTGCTCCACTTCTGATCCAACTCTCTGGGGTGGTCTGGAAAAGCAGTAGAAGATGGCTGAAGCCCTTGGGCCTCTGCACCCATGTGGGAGACCCTGAAGAAGCTGCTGGCTACTGGCTTCGGATTGGCCCAGCTCAGGCCATTATGGCCATTTGGGGAGTGAACCAGTGGATGGAAAACCTCTCTACCCATGCCTCTCTATAATACTGCTTTTCAAATAAATAAATAAATCATTTTAAAAAATAGAACAATGTTTTAACTAAGACATAAAAAACCCACAAATTTCACCAGTTCATTGACTCTCCTATGATTACTTTTATCTTTTGATCTCCATTAGCAGTTTCACAATTCTGTTTTATTTTTCAGAATTCTAGAAATTCATGGTTACCCCATTGATCTTCCATAAGAACCCCATATTATAATTAATTTTAATGGTCTTATAAATATAAATCTTCCTGGAGAAGAACTAGAACAGTGAATGACAAAGACAAAATCATCACAATTGAAATTTTTAAAGTAATTTAGCAAAGGAGATGCCCACAGGATTTGAAAAAGCACAGCAGTATCTTACAAACCAGTTCATCATTTCAGTCATTGATAGCACTGGAGCAATTTCAAATTCTTCTAAAGTACCCAAGGAACCCTCCTCCCCTTTTTTAATAACAGCAGCTTGTAATATTTCACCATTGGACTTCTCAATGTTACATAACCCCTGGAAAACTTACATCAATAACATTTCTATATCAATGTAACAACCTAAAATTTATGATATTGCAACTAGATAATACTTTCATGTAAAGTGAGCCTAATTAGCCATCATCTCTGCAAGATGAAAACTACATCTTTTGTTGATTTCCATGGATCCACAAAGAAATCAAGGTCAAAGCAGTTAATTTAGAACTTTGATTTTGAAAAAAAATGTCAAAGATATCAAAAATTTAAAAATACTTGGTTAACATAGGATCTCTGATCATTATGAGACATAATCATTCACTTATATAGAGTCAAATTATGTTTAAATATATTTTACATATTAAGTATATTTAATATTTGATTACTAGAAATATACACTTAAAAGATATTAAAAAATCAACTCTTACATTCAGTTTTCTAAACCCAAAGATAGAAAATACATGAGATTATCTTGACAAAACACAAAATTTCTTTCCCTCATGTAATTAGTTACCAAAAGATAAGAAAATCCTTTTGTACTGTGCTTCTTCTAGTGGGAAGTTCCCCCAGATAACTTAGAAGTTAAACCTAATGGAAGGGTACCCAAACTTAGACACTGAAATAGTATGTGTGGAGGCTGTAAGCATTCAACCTTATAAAAGAATGAGAACACTTAGAAACAAGTACAACCTGAGGCCGGTGCTTTGGCACTGCAGGTAAAGCCACTGCCTGCAGTACTGGCATCCCATAGGGGGTCAGTTTAAGTCCTGACTGCTCTACTTCTGATCCAGCTCTCTGTTATGGCCTGGAAAAGCAGTAGATGGCCCAAGTAGTTGGCCTCTCTGCACTAGTGTTGGAGACCCAAAGGAAGATGTTCCTGGCTCCTGGCTTCAGATTGGCATAACTCCAGCCATTGCAGCCTTTTGGGGAGTGAACCAGCAGATGGAAGACCTCTCTCTAACTCTCTCTCTGCCTCTCTGTAACTCTGCCTTTCAAATAAATACATAAATCTTTAACAAAAAAGACAATAACATATCTTAGAAACAAAAGCATAAAAATCCATAGAACAGTTTAAATACATCTAGAAAAGTCAAGTATAGTGGCCAGTGTTGTGGCATGTTGTGTAAAGCCAGCCCCTGTGACACAGGCATCCCATCCTACATGGGCACTTGTCCAGTCCTGATTATTCCATTTCAGATCCAGATCCCTGCTAATGTGCCAAGGAAAATAATGAAAAATGGCCAAGTCCTTGGGCCCCTGCCACCCATGTGTGAAACCCAGAAGAAGCTCCTGGCTCCTGGCCATTGTGGCTCAGGTCCAGCCATTGTGGTCATCTGGGGAATGAACCAGTAGACCAAAGATCTCTGTCTCTTCTCTCTCTTTGTGAACTCTGGCTTACAAATGAAAAAATCTTTAAAAAAAAATTAGGTACTCTTAGTATCCTAGTCTTCTAAGATAAACATTTCTCTTAAGACTAATTAATTTCAAAGGTAGAGTTACAGAGAGAGAACAGAGAGAGAGAGAAAGATCTTCCATCTGCTAGTTCATTAGCCAAATGGCCACTACAACCAGAACTGGTCCAGGCAGAAACCACTTCCAGGAGACTCATCCAGGTCTCTCACATGGGTGCAGGGTCCCAAGGACTTGGGCCATCCTCTCCTGTTTTCCCAGGTGCATTAGCTAGGAGATGAATCAGAAGTGGGCCACGAGGAGTCAAACCCGTGTCCATATGGGTTGCTGCCATCATAGGCAGCATCTTAACCTGCTGTACCACAATGTCAGCTGTAAAGACAAGCATTTCTCATGACAGGCCATAACTAAACAATAAAGGAGGAGAAAATAGCTTATAAGAGATGGCTAGTTGTTGGAAAGGAGTCAATCAAATGGAAATTTTAAAAAATTGCAGTTGAGGAGAGGGTTGAAATGTTATTAGAGGGGCCAGGCACTATAGCATAGTAGTCTAATCCTAGAAAAGCAGTTGGTGGCTCACTTGGTTAACCCTCCACTTTGAGTGCTGGCAACCCATATGGGTGCTGGGTATAGTCCCAGTTGCTCCTCTTCCAGTCCAGCTCTCTTCTGTGGCCCAGGAAGGCAGTGGAGGATGGCCCAAGTGTGTGGACCCCTGCACCCACATGGGAGACCTGGGAGACAGGGAGGAAACACCTGGCTCCTGGCTTCGGATCCGCACAGCACTGGCTGTAGCAGCCATTTGGGGGTGAAGCAATGGAAGGAAGACCTTTCTGTCTCTCACTGTCTAACTCTGTCAAATAAATAAGAAAAATAAAAAACAAGAAGTTGCAGTTGATTAGATGGTTGAAAATGTTATTTAGAGGGCATTGTAGGCTAATCCTAAGCAGTGCAAGGTGTGCTTGAGCATGGGGGATCTGCAAGAAGCTCCTGCCTCCTGTTCTGGATTGGCTCAGCTCCAGCCATTGTGGGTATTTGAAGAGTGAACTAGTAGATAGAAGACATTTCACTCTCTCTCCCTCTCTCTACCTCTCTCAAAATTTTTAAAAGTTATTAGACTGGGGCAGGCACTGTGGCATAGAAAGTCAAGCCTCCACCTCAGTGCCAGCATCTTATATGGGTACCAGCTCAGTTGAATCCCAGCTGCTCCACTTCCAATCCAGCTCTTTACTAATGCACCTGGGCAAAGCAGAGAAATGTGGTACTTGAGCCCCTGAACCTGTATGGGAGACCCAGAAGAAGCTCCTGGCTCCTGCCTACTGGCTCCTGCCTGACCCAACCCCCAGTCATTTGGGTAGTGTCATTGGATGGAAGATCTCTTTCTTTCCCTTTCTCTCTTTGTATCTCTTCCTTTCAAATACATAAATGTGTTGTAGAAAGTTATTAGACTTTAAAATCAAATATGAAAAACCTCTTGCAAAAATCATTAATATTTATATTTTTGTAAAAAAATTTACTAACTTAATGTAGGGTATAAACCCTAGTTTTATTTATTTGAAAGAATTCCAAAAAAATAAAGACAATGAGAAAGTGATCATCTGGATCACTTCCCAACTGACTGCAACAGCCAGAGCTGGGACAGATTGAAGAAGCCAGAAGCCAGAGAAGTCCATGTGGTTCTCCCACATGTGTGGCAGGGGTCCCAGCACTTGAGCCATCTTCTGCTATCCCAGGCACATTCGCAGGGTGCTGGATTAGAAGTGCAGCAGTCTGGACTCAAAGAAGCACTCTTATGGGATGCAGGTATGATAGACTGCACTTCACCTATGATGCTGGCTGTACCTTGAACATTTTTAATGTCAGGGCTGGAATAGTGATGTTGTGGGTAAGGCCACCACCTGTGATGCTGGCATCCATATGGTCACATGTCACAGCTGCTCTACTTCAGATCAAGCTCCCTGCTAATGGCCAGGGAAGAGCAGAGGAAAATGCACAAGTGTTTAGATCCCTGCCACAGATGTAGGAGACCTGAATGGTGCTCCAGGCTCCTGCCTTCAGTCTGGCCCAGTGCTTGCTTGCTGCAGACGTCTGGGATTGAACCAGTAGATGGAAGATGTCTGTCTCTTTCTACCTCTCTAAACTCAGCCTTTCAAATACATAAATAAAACTTTAAAGAATTCTAAATTTTGGTATGTTGATTTAGAATTATTTTTATTGGGGCCAGCACTGTGGCATAGTAGGTTAAACCTCCACCTGCAGTGCTGGCATTTCGTAAGAGCACTGGTTCAAAATGCCCTAGAAAAGCAGTGGAGGATGGCACAAATCCTTTGGCCTCTGCACCCATGTGGGAGACTTGGATGAGGGTCCTGGCTCTTGGCTTCAGATTAGCAAAATCCAGCCATTGCAGCCCTCTGGGGAGTGAATCTGTGGATGGAGGACCTCTCTTCTCTCTCTCTCGTCTCTCCTCTCTCTCTCTCTCTCTCTCTTATTCTGCTTTGCAAATACTTAAATAAATAAATCTTAAAAAATATTTCTTATCCTTGATAACTTGATTTTTTTTACTTTGAACTTTTATTCGGCAAAGCAGCACTGCATAAACTGTGCAGTAACAAAGACAGTTTACACAGAATGTTAAATTCATATACATTATTAGCAAATTAAACAAACCAAAAAACCCTAAGCTACAAATCCCCTATCACTTTTAGAGAGAAAGAATGGACTCTGTCAGTTATGTCCAATCTGAACAGCAGTGTCTACAGGACATCACCTGCCATCTTAAGTTTCAGTACTTACAGATGCCTACTTGGAAGGTAACAAAGCAGTTGACTGTATCTACAACATGCTATTCTGTGACACCACCTCAAAAGCTTTAAAAAGAAAGCTCATCTCTACTTTCTTAGTAGCATCTAACAGATATCCAAATACCAAGAATCTTAACTTGTGAATGGTGGTGTTATCTGATACACAGAAGAAATTTGATATATTAACATCAGAACAAAATTAAGTGTCCATGAAAAGGAAAGCCACTCCTCAAAATCAGTCATAAACTAAAATTTTCCATTTTGCAGAAGCCCTATTTTCCTATTTTAAAGTAAACTGTGGGCATGTGAAAGAAGTAACACACACATTCCTATTCTGCAGCCTTCCTCTGCCAGTCAGGCTCTCTGCCTCTTTGAGGAATAAGAAACCCCTACCAAACCACACATTTTCATGCTGAAAATAACAGTGTGATGAAGTCCAAGTGAGCTGTGATGCTGTTGGTTTCCAAACAGCATCAAAAAGCTTTAAGGCCTGAGATGAACAATCCACTGAAATATCATGGGCTGGTCAAGCTGATGGTCTTAGAGTTCATTCCCTGCACATGTGGAAGAAAAGAGCAGAAAATAAAATCACTCCCACCTAAACCATTGTTTTTATCTGTTAAAGGCACATATACCACCCCTACCAAAGGCTTCATTTTGACGCTGCCATCTTGCAGGTAACTTATTGTTTAGTGATAACTTAGCAAGTAATTTTGAACAGCTGTGTATTAACAACTTATGAAAACATTTACCAAAAGACCCAATCCCTTCTATATATTTTAAGCCAAGAGTACATGTATTTAGAAAAATCTATCTTTTACACTTAGCAATTCATTTTTATTTTTTATGAGCATTTATCATTTATTGGAGAAAAAAAAGTCATCCTACTGCAGAGTAGTTCTTGGTCTCTCTAGCTGCTACACTGCTTTATCTCTCTGCAGTCACTGTAAGTCAGAGATGCTCTTATCCCTGGCAGGAAAGCCTGAGGTTCATTACCTCATGTCAAATTGGATAGGGGCCCCAAATCAGTAATCCATCCCATGATCACCTTGAGGAGAGGATCTGGGTTGTGCATGGCACAAGCATCATGGGCCATCAGGGGTGGGATTCCCTTTGTACCCAGTCATCCTCCTCACCTTGCACAGCTTGTAGTTCAGTTTGTATACCACCTCCTGCTCATGTCTGCCACCACATGCCTTCTGCTGTGATGTAGTGATCAGCAAAATGGCCCCTTGGTGTCAAGGATGAGGCAGAAATGCTCACCTGTCTTCTTGATGCTAGCCAATGTTTGCTCCATCTCACATGTATCCACGAATGCAGCAAGGTATGCAACATCAGTTTTTGAACCTGGTTGCTGATTCTGATCAAGCACTGCATACAGTTCTTTACCTCCTCTCCAGTCACTGCATACTTGAGTCCATTTCTCAGGCAGATGAGGAGAGGGAGACACCCTTAGGTTGCAAGGACATGATGATGCACAAGGTGCCACAGCAAAGTGCAGAGAAAGCAAAGACCACCAATTCATTTTGAGCATTTATACTTAGATTGCCTGAAAAACTAAAATATTAGATAAGTATGGTTATTCTTAGGTTATGATCTTGCCAAAGAACAACTTTAAAATTGAACTTCATAGAAAGCAAAGAACATTGCATCACTTTCATATATTGTTTGTGCTTAGCTGAAAAATTATATTTTGATTTTAACACAAATAAGCACAACAAACTTTTAAACATACTACAGGTACATGTATATAAGGCATAGCATATGTTATGAGACAGAAAAATAAGGAAATCGCTGCAACAGTTTTTAAATCTTTTAACTCCATTACCTGACAAATAATCAGGCCCTTATGGCTCACCACGTGGGATGCCAATTCAACAGAAATGAATGTTGGCAAGAGGAAAAAGCTTATTTCTAGAAGCTGGCATCTTGGGGAAAGATATTTATCTTTTTTTTTTAAAGATTTTATTCATTTGGGGCCCGGCGCCGGCACCCCATATGGGCACCGGGTTCTAGTCCCAGTTGCTCCTCTTCCAGTCCAACTCTCTGCTGTGGCCCAGGAGGGCAGTGGAGGATGGCCTAAGTGCTTGGGCCCTGCACCAGCATGGGAGACCAGGAGGAGGCAGTATTACAATAGAACACCACTTTTCTTCTTAGTAATAGGATTGTAACTGTAGCTGCTCAGTCACAACGCAACTCAAGGTGCTTTTGGATGGAAATTAAATTGAACCACTCGTATTTCACCTAATGAGTACTCTTCCAAACCATATCCAAATCTTCCTCACAGAGGGGCTGAGGCAAAAATTAGAATCTTGTCTCCCACATGAAGCAGGCAGGCATACAGGTTAAAATAGATTAGGTTTGTGAGCTAGAAGACCACGCCTTTGCCAGGCCCTTGGTGGCCGCATGCCCCTACCTGATGCCTTTGCCATGCCCCTGTGTGGCCTCATTCCCCTTCCTGCCCACACCTGGGTGCCCACCAGCCAATCAGGTTAATTAACCACTCCCCTTTGGAAGTGGGTTAAAAGCCCAGCCATGGTGTAGCCGCGCCTGCTCTTCTTCTCTGGCCTCTTGCCAGGACAGGGCTTGCTGTAGCCCTGCACCTCCAGGGCACAAGGCCTTCAGGCCATGTGTTCTAGGCTTCCAGGCCTAATGCTCATTCATGTGGCTGGTTCCTGGTGCTTGGTATGAACCCCTATTCACCTCTCTCCCCTAAATAAAGCTCTCACTCTCCTATGCATCTTTCTCACTAAATAAAAGCTTAAAATGTACCATTGTAGGACCCCAAAAGCGGTGTCCTCTTGTGACGACCCCAGAAACACAGACTCCAGACCAGACGATGCAATAGAGCAGGAGGTAATTTTTATTTCATTTGCGCAAATGGGCCCCCTGCTGCTGCAAGCAGCAAGCAAGCGAGAGGAGCCCCGAGCAGCTATCTCACACAGCTTTTAAGGGGCAAAACCACAAAATTAACATACCATAGGGTGGCGTAAGTTTATTGGGTAACTACAAGGGGAGGAGGTCGTCGAGGAGGAGGAGAGAACAGAAACCGGGGCTATGTGCCCTACGTGTCTAAGCTTGGACAAGGGGAGGGGGTCCTTGAAGAGCAGAAAGGGGTGGCTACGTGCCCTACGTGTCTCGCGGTTTCTTTGTTAAGCTTGAACAAGCACAGGGGAGGGGGCTTATGTGCATACCAGGATGTTCTGTCGCCCTTATCTCTGGCTAGTAGCCCTTATCTCTGGCTAGTAGCTATCTGCTTTCTCTGTGAACTTAGTTTACTCCCCATTTCCCAGGACTGTTTTATTAAGGCCATTTTATGGCGGCTCTCGGCCGCTCCTTTCATTCCCCCATTTTCTCTTTGAACTAATTTTAATCCTAAAATTGTGTGCCATTAATGAGGGGTTTCAATACGGTCACTGGTGGCCAGGGCTTGATACTGTTGCGCGAGGACTAATGCCAATGATCAGCAAGCCAGGCCTTAGCATGTGGGCCCATGGCCAGCCATGGGTCCCCACATCTCCTCCTTTTTTTTATTAAATTGAGAATGGCCTCTGTCTTAGGTTGCCCTCAGTCATCTCTGTCCTTACCCGTCATCGGTAACTCTGGCAGCTTGGCCTAGAGCCCTGTCTTAGGTTGGTACAGGATGCTGAGCGTCTTACCCGTCTTTGAGTACCATTCCAGCCCAACATTAGGTGAGAGATGAAACATACAGCCAAATATCAATTATTTTGATTACAAAGGAGGCTTGGTACGAAGTTTTAAATGATGAATCTCAGTCCATTCATACTGTAGCGAAGTCAGCATAAAATGCAGAACACACAGAATACATCCCATACAAAGTAGGAAAAGCAGTAGCAGTCCAGCCAACATTAATAACCAATGAATCCATTGAAACCCTTCAAATGAATAGTGGGTTAGTAATAAACATATGTTGCATTTTACTCTTAAGTTTATCAATAACAGACTCTATATATGGCACATTGTTAGTAATGTTAAAATAACATCCCCCAGGTACAGATTTACAACTTATATGATTTTTTTAACAGCAAGTAATTGTTAGCTGCATGGCTTAAAAGCACTCCTGAGTGAACTTGATCCAATTCTTTGGCTATATTGGATAGCACAGTAGCAGTAAGATTGATTGCTTTGGTCACCAAACATGTAAGCCTTCATAGTCCACGATTATTTCCAAAAGCCAGTCCAGGAACACTTACTACTGATGCAGCCATGGCAAGGGCAGTGTCCTCTCCTATTAGGATGATTGTTATTGTAGTCTTCAGGTAAAGCACACCACTGCTCTATCCGCTGCTGTAAATACAGATGTTAGCATCAGGGCCACACGGCCCAGGGAGCAATTGCAGAAAGGCATGTTGGTTACACGGAAAAACCCATCCCTTAGGAGCCCTTGTCCCATACCAGTACTGGATCAGGTCCATTCCATTGATTGGTGATAGGATCCCTCCATTTTACCATTGCTCTTTTTACAGCTGTTTTTAAGCAGTTAGAATTTAACAGAGACATCAAGAGAACATAATAGATTACTTTAACTCATTGCTTTAACAGAGGATCAGATTTTGATTTTATGTCAAAGAAAATAACCAAAGATTTCTTCTTCCCATAACATTTTGCGACTTTCTCACACCTTCTGTAACTTGCTCAAACCTTTCTCTTCTCCCCCCCCTTTTATAAACAATTTTTACAAATCATATCCCTTTTTTATTTAAAAGTATCTCTTTCTTTTAACTTTCCTTATCAAGAACACGCTTTTATGTTTGTGACCTTTTACATCAAAATGATGGTATCTGGGACTGTAGCAGTCAATGGGAGAGTAACTTTGTTTAATTCCCTGTAATCCACAGTCATTTTTCAGGTTTCATCTGATTTCTTAACATGCCAAATTAGATAATTCCTTTTAGTGATTATGGGAATCATTACTCAGCACTAAGATAATTTTTTTTACTGTTTTAGATATTTCCTCATATCCACCTGGAATTCTGTATTGTTTACACTGAATAACCTTAGTTGGCCCTGGCAGCAGTACAGGAGCTTGATATAATTTTTTTCTACCACTATCTAGCAGTTTGACTCCAAAGGGCAGCATTTTCTTTTTTCCAATTTACATTTATCCTGTACTTATTTTTCCAATTGCTTACACATGCATCAGTATGCAGATAACAAAATCCATTCTCACCTCCCCAAAGCCTATAGTTCATCCCCCTTTTCCACCGGCACTGATAGCAAAACCTCAATAACTTGTGGAGGCTGTGCACTCTGTAACTTGCCATCCCAATTCTCACTCGATTCTGAGCAGAGAGCCCATTCCTTCACCAAACAGGCGAACTGAAGGTCTTTCCAGCCAGGAACATCACAGGTTACACATGCAACTTCAGTTTTTCTTTTAAAGAAAGGCATTGCTTTGCATACTTGCGGATCCTGCCAACTATGCCAATTTGTGACAGTAAATTACTTTTCAGCTGTCTGCTGTGCACAGACTTAGTTACTTTTAGTTTAATCCACAAGAAATACACTGCAAGCCTTGTAGTGCACACTAAAATTATTTACAGGAAAGATGGTAAAGGAGCATAGATTAACAGAATGTTGCAATAAACATGGCTCCATTGCTTTAATGATACTATAGCAAGATGGTCCACTGATCCCTGTAGGGAGGGCCTGAGGCTGGCCCCGCTTCCAGTTTCCTGAACTCTGTTTTTTAATGAATTACCTTCTTTATCAGTTTTGGAGTGACATTTATTGTCCCAATGCCTTCCCCTTTAGCACTGGAAGCAAATCCCAGGAAGAGCCTTATTTTGATTTTTGACTTTTGGACAATTTTTGTACATGTCCCTACTGCCCACATTTATAGCACCCTCATTTATCAGGCATAGCCCTCCTTGATGATTTTTGTAATGACATACCAAGCAGAGCGTCAGGTCCTGAATGTCCTGTTATTAATCCATTTTGTTAATTTCTCATTAAAGGGACTGTCACAGAACACCTCAATCACAGTAGCCAATTGATCATGTAATCATTACGGGCACATTTAATGTTCAGCTTGACTGCGTGTTCCCCCCGAAACGAAACAGCAGCAGCAGAGGCTTGCTCCGGCTCCCCCTTAAAGCCCCCAAGGACAAGGGTGGCTCATTGCCAAGATTTTAGGCAAGCAGTGCGTCCCATCTCGGGTCTTGGCCAGAGAGCCGAGACATGAAGCATGCCCACCTGTTTATCAGAAAACATTCCTTTATCCTCCTCCCTGGGAACTGGCCAGGCTCCCAAGGAGCAGGAGAAGGTCATTCGGCAGCAAAGTTTCTTGGTTACCAGAGCCAAATCTAGGTACAAGCCTTTCCATTCCAAAAATTTGTCCTTACATTTGGCCCTAGAGTTGCATTGAGAAGTAGACATAATTAACACATCATAAGAATACAATACACATTTTTCATACAAGTATACATCTAGCAATCAAACACAACAATAAAAACAGATGGGGGAGACAGTAAGAAATAAAGGACAACAAAAACAGTGACACACAGAACACAAATCACAAGCCGAGCGGCAACAGACCTAGACAAAACCGAAACTATCAGAAGGGAGCGGCCATCTGGCCAGGCTCTCCCCTGGAAGAAGGGAAATTCCCTCTTTCCCTCCTTCCCAGACCACCACTGGAGCGTCCTCCAGGGTTGAACCAGGGGTCTCAGGACACGTCTGTCTCCCCCACTGGTCCAGTCAATACTGAGCCTGTACAGGCGCCCCAGGAC